GTCGAGATAGAGAGGTAATACCCAGAAACTGCAGTTCTGGAGTAAATGCATACTGCAGACCAGGCTGTCGTCCGTTATCGACGTAAATAGGTGCGTCGGAAAGGTACGAATTCAACGTTCAAAACGGGCTATAGAACGTCCGATGCAAGCAGGTTATGATAATAGGAATGGGGAAATGGTTGTTGGGAGAGATGACGCTGTAACGCAAGAACCGCTTGTCCGTCTGATGCATATGAGGGTTTCCCAGAAGCGCATTGACCGTAGCTTCAAAACAAACCAAAGAACGAAAGGGGCGACGAGGATCTCGCCGAGAACGGATGAAACATGTTCATCTTGGTCATACCAGGCTGAACTAGGCGAAGCGCAGCCAATACGTGGCCGTTTGGCGAGTTCAGGGAGTCCAAAGAAAGGTGTGAACGAGGGCGTCCCAGCGCAAAAGGGATGAGAGCAATCTGTGCGTCGGTCGGCGAGATATGACATGAACAAGTCACATGTAAATGGTTGTTGGAAGGATGGTGCTGTAACACGAGAACCGCTTGTCCGTTTGATGCATGTAAGGGCTTCCCAGAAGCGCATTGACCATGGCTTCAAACCGAAGCAAAGAACAAAAGGAACGATGAGGATCTCACTGAGAACGGACGAGATATGTTCATTTTGGCCATGCCAGGTTGAACTAGGTGAAACGCAGCCAATACGCGACCGTTTACTCATTCCTCAAGCAAGAAAACAGCAAAGATTGGGAGAGAAGCATAGTAGGGCATACCACATAATTTCCAGAGCAGCAGACTGAACTGGAGGGATGTCAATGAACATCTGGCTGTTCTTGAGAGGCCTAGATGCTAAAAGACAGTCTGAGAGACAGTGAAGCAGCGCAAAGCAGCAGGCAACACTGGTTGTGGGCAACCTCCTCACCAAGTCAATGGTCACGTAGTCATGGAATCCAGACATAGGTGAGTAGGAACTCTCCTCACAGTAGGCTTCAGACCACGTAGTTGCAAAATCCCAAAGCCCAGCTGCTCAGAGTCAGTGCAGCACCCCAATCAAACAAACCTCCACCAGCTGTGCAAGCACAAGCTAAAGTCAATGGTTCATCCAACTAAATGATGGATGTAGTGCTTGGAAGTCCAGTCTCAAGACTGCAAAAAGACTGCAACTGGACTGGACCAAGACTGCAAAAGACTGGACCTGCAGTCTTGGTCTTGCAGATTTGAGATTAAAAGACCGCAAAAAGACCGGTTAACATGGACCGGTCTGGTTGATTAATACTGGTCTTTTGTACCTACATAATAACCCTTCAAAACACACCTAAGATCATATTTTTAGGCCAAAAACTGACAAAGATACATATAAAATAGTAAAATATTTCGTGAAAATAGTAGATGTACCTTGGTATTTTTGTAGATACATCAATTCTAAACGGAATTTAATGTTCTTGCACTCGTTTTGAAGCTACGGAGAATCTCAATAAATTTACTGACTCACAATTGCAAATATTATTGCATATTAAGTTGAAAAACCGGTCTTGAACCGGTTGTAACCAGTTTGGACCAAGACTGGTCCAAAGACCGAAAAAGACCGCAGTCTTGCAAAAGACCAGTCCTGGTCCGGTATTTTGAGGTTTTAGGAATTGTGTGGACCGGTCTGGGTCTGGGTCTTTTCGTTTTGGGCCAAAAAACCAGACTGGACTGGACTTTCAAGCACTAGATGGATGAGCCCTTTCACATGAAGTAGTAAGCCTGCCACGAAGTGCGCGAGCAGCAGCTACCCTCCATGCTAAGGTTCCTCCTGTGATGAGCTGGCACATTCCCACAACTCTCCAGCTCTCCCTCTACCAAGAGATGCAGACTTCAACCATGCTTTGGTGAAGTCCGCGGTGCCCCCACCATTGTGAAGCGTTCACTCTGAACTTCTTGCATAGCTGAAGCCAAGAGGGAACACTTCAGTCACCCACTGCCAACTGACTATTAGTCATGCAAACTACACATAAGTTACATGACTAAATATCATGGACCATATCTATATTCTAGATATATATGGGTCCTAGAAAGCCCTGAAATCTAAAATATATTCTTGAGACGTGGACCCTGAAATGTCACACAAAAATTATAATGTCTGTGTCACACCACTAAAATATATTTTGCAAGTGAAAAGCAGTAAGGATATATTTTTGGTGAGTGGACCCTGAAATGTCACTGTCACACCTTAGAAATATATTTTTGCCCTGGCTTGGCCTTAGGATATATTTTGGGAGACAGATGTGGTAAGGATATATTTTTTGGGTCTGTAGGGGTGTCAGGGGTCCTAGTTTCACCAAAAAAACTTGTGATTTTTTTGCTGTCTGGGATATATATTCTGGAAGATTCTGCAATGATTTCCAGGGGTTTTGGCAGTATGTAGGTAGCAATAAGGGGCATCAATAGCATCTGTGACCTACCTGAGTAGTTGCTTGCATATTATCCACTTTGACACTATAGATACAGTTTGCACTATGAAATTCTTTAGCTGCCTTGAAACACCCTCTGAGTTGACAAAGTCCTTCGATCTTTCTCTTCTTCTCTTTCCAATTGCACCATATCTGCATACCCCACCCACATCTGTATTAACAGCAAGTTGACAAAGTGCTTTGATCTTTCTCTTCTTCTCTCTCCAATTGCACCATATCTGCATACCCCACCCACATCTGTATTACCAATAAGTTGACAAAGTGCTTTGATCTTTCTCTTCTTCTCTCTCCAATTGCACCATATCTGTATACCTCACCCACATCTGTAGTAACACAAACTTCACTAAGTTCTTTATTGCTTCTCTCCTTAACTTCCTTTCTTCCTCTCCTCCTCTTCTTCTCTCCCTGCCTTCTTCCCTCTTTCTATTGAGTTTAATTGTAAATTTATGGACAAAAACTTCACAAACTTCACCAAGTTCTTTGTTGCTTCTCTACTTCTCCTCCTTTCTTCCTCTCCTCCTCTTCTTCTCTCCCTGTGTTCCCCCCTCTATCTCTTGAGTTTTGATTGTAAACTTATGGACCATGAATTCTATTCACCATGTCATTGTATGGAGTCACATCTATCTTTCCACTAAATCCTAACCGAGATCTTTTTTCAACCATATTATGAATCCAGATACATAATTTCTGAACTGTATCATGAATATATTGCTTAGAAAGAAGCTGAACCCAGATTCTTTCAACTATATCTTGAACCAGGATATATTTACCACAAGATATTGAACCAGGATATGTTAACAATATATATTCTCAAGCTATATCTTGCACAAGGATATATCTTTCAACTTGATCCTGCACAAAGATATATATTCAACAAGATATCGAACCAGAATACATTACCAAGATATATTCTTTAGCTATATCTTGAACCAGGATATATCTTACAACTTTATCTTAAACCAGGATAATAACAAGATAAATTCTTGAGCTATATCTTGAACAAGGATATATCTTTTCACTTTATCATGAACAAGGATATATCCTTAAGCTTTATCTTTAACAAGGATATCTCTTTCAGATTTATCTTGAACCAGTATATATCTTGGACACAGATATATCCTTAAACTTTATTTTAAACAGGGATATATTATTAAGCCTTATCTTGAAGCAGGATATATTACCAAGATATATTTTTGAATTATAAAATGAATCCAGATATATTTCAAACCAGGATTCATTTCTTTCCAATATCTTAAGTCAAGATAAATCTTTGAAATATATTTTGAATATTATTAAGCTTTATGTTGAAGCAGGATATATTACCAAGATATATTTTCCAACTATAAAATGAATCCAGATATATTTCAACCCAGGATGCATTTCTTTCCAAAATATCCTAAGTCAAGATAAATCTTCCAAATATATTTTGAGTATTTGCCATGCAAGTATATATCCTAAGTCAAGATATATCTTCAAAATATAATTTGAACCAAAATCTAATGTGTGATGTAAGCATGATCAAAAATGAGTGATGGAGTGGGTTAATAGAGAGTCAACCAAGTGACTTAATCGAAACTGAGTCAAGGATATTAATATGTAAGAAAAGAGTGGAGTCAAAACTAATCGAAACTGAGTCAAGAATATTAATATGTAAGAAAAGAGTGGAGTTGAAACTGAGTGAAGGATATTAATGTGTAAGTAAAGAGTGGAAGGATAGGCATGGGTAAAGACAGTGAAGGAACAGCCAACAAAAAACCTGTGTATTACTGCAATCCCAAAAGTTAGATCAAGTAAAGCATGGCATAAAGGACTTACAAAGGACTATAGGAAAGGGAATTGACAGAGCAAGGTGTGTAGGTGGACAAAGGCAAAAGGAGGGGGACACAGCCTAAAACCACCACCAAGTCAGATTGATGAAAGAACATTATAAAGGACTTACACAATGATGTATGGACAAAGGCAAATCAGGAACACAGCTACAAATGAACCAGTCAGATGCATGAATGGACATAAGTAAGGACTTAGGAAATACCCAACGAGCAGCAAAACAACCCAAGAAAAAGAAGTCCAAAAGGACTTAACATGTAAGCAATGACCTAGTTAGCAACCGAACCTTGAGAGTTCTTCCCTGGCCCAGCATGTTTGCCTGAAACACGAGCATGACCTGAAGTACTAGCAACAGGCTGAGATACTGATCGAGATGAGGAGGCAACATGAGCTGAAGAACTAGCGAAGGGTTGAGAAACTGAATGAGACGATGAAGCTGGTGTTTTCTGGTTCTTGAGTAGGTCAAAGAAGGAGATTGGGTGTTCAGCTCGTCGAAGTTTAGTATAAAACATGTTATCGGGAAGGGAGGCGAAGGAGACGTGACGTTGGCGTTTAGCGGGAGGTTCCACTTCTGGTTGTTTCGGCAGACGGCGGTACTCTCTTGTGGACCTATGCTTGAGTTCTTCTTCAGGCGAGGCCATGGCGGTGTCATGTGATCGTTTCTTCGTGGACAATGTGGGAGATGAAGGGAAAGAACTGACAGGCGAAGATGTATCACCTTTCCGATCACGCTTCTTCATTGGGGCCAAAATGGAGCAATTGCCACGGACCCATTTGCTCGAGTCTTTGACGAAGACCATCGGAAGACCTTCGAAGTTAATAATGACAGGGATCTCACCGAAGCAAGCTTCACTCTCTTGGATTAGTCTTTGCTCTAAAAAAACAACTCAGACAAATGTAAGTCAACAGAAAATTATAGAACTTACCGTCCGACCAGGGCTTCACCACCAAGAGCTTCTTTACAATCAGAGTCGATAGGTGCTTCCATTGAGAGCTCGTGATCTTCGTAGGTGCAAATCCCGGGCAGAAGGCTATGTCGACCATGGCAGAATCCCATCCTGTGATAACAAGTTTGAATTGGTAGGCGAGATTGGGCCATGTGGTCCAAGGGGCCGACTTGTGTCGATCCTTTTCAGCCAAACACCCATCTGAATACCATATCAATAACGGTTAATGACTGAACAAAACAAAAATATTACTCAAAAGATCAAGAAACAATTGCGTGAATTGTTTCTGACGTTCCTTCGTGTAAGGTAGCACATCCTTATCCGAAGATGCCTCCTCCTTCAAAGCAGAAGCAAGGCTGCTCAGGGCGCGAGCCGTTGAGGAGCTAGCCATAGTCGAGGGCACTTCAGTCACCCACTGACAACTGACTATTAGTCTTGCAAACTCCATGAATACTACAGGACTAAATGTCAGGGTGTATATCTATATTGTATATATTCTGGGCTTGTATATTTCCACTTTTACCTAAATATATTTTGTTGTCCAATGTCACACTAAATATATTTCTAGTGTGTCACACACCCCAAAATATATTTCCTCACTGGAATGGACTCCAAATATATTTCCTATGGCTGGACCCTGAATTGTGACTGTCACAATGTAGAAATATATTTCTTGTCTGGGATGGACTTGGGATATATTTTGCAGCTAGGGTTGACTAAGGATATATTTTTTCAGCCACAAGGGGTGTCTGGGGTCCTATATTTAAGAGAAAAACTTGGGATTTTTTTAATATAGGGGATAGGGGATTTACCTATTATTTTGTAGGCAGAATACCCTCATTGGGATGTTTGTTGACAGATATTTACCAATGGGTTTGACCCATGTGTAGTATATGCATTGATGTGCACACTATTTCCTAATTGGGAAAAGTGTTACACTTTTTTCTGCCACACCTGATGTCAGGCACAGTGTGCATTTGGGTAGGTAACTGTTTCCCACGCTTTTTGGGCCAGAAGAGTTAGTGGCTAGCAATGGTGTGGTCATTGTTAGTGATGATGTGCACACTATTTCCTAATTGGGCCATTTCCTAATTGGGAAAAGCATTACACTTTTTTCTGACAAACCTGATGTCAGGCACAGTGCACATTTAGGTTGGGAACTGTTTCCCATGCTTTTTGGGCCAGAAGAATTAATGGCTAGCATGGTGTGGTCATTGTTAATGATGATGTGTGCACTATTTCCTAATTGGGCAACTTCCTAATTAAGAAAAGCATTACACTTTTTTCTGACAAACCTGATGTCAGGCACAGTGCACATTTAGGTTGGGAACTGTTTCCCATGCTTTTTGGGCCAGAAGAATTAATGGCTAGCATGGTGTGGTCATTGTTAATGATGATGTGTGCACTATTTCCTAATTGGGCAACTTCCTAATTAAGAAAAGCATTACACTTTTTTCTGACAGACCTGATGTCAGGCACAGTGCACATTTGGGTTGGGAATTGTTTCCCACGCTTTTTGGGCCAGAAGAGTTAATGGCTAGCATGGTGTTGTCATTGTTAATGACGATGTGTCGCATATTTCCCAATTTGGAAAGCCATTACATAATATCACTTTGGTTTGTCGTGTCTGCTTTTTTCATTACAACACTTTGTAGTGTCCGCATTTGGGTGGGGAATTATTTCCCACGCTTTTTTGGCCAGAAGACTTTGTAGTGTCCGCTTTATTCATTAGAAAATTGTGTAGTGTCCGATTTTTTCATTACAACACTTTGTA